GGTTTTCGCTATAGGGCGCGTGCACTCGCCAGACAGACAGAGAGAGACATAGAGACAGAAAGCGAGAAATCACCCCCCAGGGGAGATGGTCACTCCGCAATCCCTTCTCCTCCATTCTCCTCTCAGGATCTTGGGCAAGCATGCACAAGCGCCCACCGTGAGTTCTAAGCCACTGGGTCTGGGACACGAAACACAGTCGACTACGTGGGAGTCTAGTGACATAGCCATTACACTAACTGCTGGTTCCCCCTAATAGACTCTTAATATTGCCATTCAGCCCTCAACTTCAACCAGCCCAGATCATGGGCACACACAAGCCTACAGAGGAACTGAAAACCGAGATCTTTCCCATGTGGGTAGGCCTCCTATTTTCACAATTTACCTTTATGCTACCATCCAGGCTCCTCTGTCAAGTTCATTTTAATGTGTACATACTAATGCATATGAACCATTCATATCCTGCATAATTCCCTATATTGTACCATCTTTTTAAGTGAATTGGTGTATTTACTTGGGGAAGGGTAAGACAGGTACCCTAATACGGTCTGCACCTTACCCTCTACCTCTAGTCTCAGTCATCCAAGAACAAAGGCACACACATGCAGGCCCAGCACATATACGGAGTCCTGGGGACAGGAAACCAAGACCTTCCACGAGGTTCCGGTATGACAGAGCATGGCACTAGTGCTGAGCCACTGTGGCTGGCCTGCACTGTAATCTTAGCTTTACATGTATATATTATACTTCCCTAAAGGTAGTATAAATCCCTTAAAGAGAAGAAATACATCTTAACATTACTTTGTGCTCACTAACAGACTAGCATGATGTTAACTATTCTATCGGGTGGTCAACAAAGTCATGACATATTTTTCCATGCAAACATGTATTGTGAATTTCCCAGCAACTCAATACACGCTTAGTAAGTTTTCCTAAACCAAAGAGAAACAAAGCAGGTCCGTTTTACTACCTATAAGTAACCGTACACGAAGCTAGAACCCTTAAATACACAATGGTTTGTAGCTTGTTGGTTTATTTGTGACCTCCCAGTGTTCATGCTATCTATGTCCTCAATTACTTCCAAATAATTATATAAATGCTAAGGTTTTTAACACTGGCTCATAATTAAAGCCCCTGAAGACTGATTTCTTCATTTGTTTAGCATGTATTCTGTACCTGGAGGCCCTAATGAATAGTGATGAGAGTGATTAAATATTTACTTTTAAATTCAAACTTGATTCTAAGACATCTCTTGATGGCTAGTTCCACTCCAGTTTCAAGTTTAACAGATCACAAAGTGTTAAGTTCAGTTGATCATTATCTTTTGAATCAGAACGCAGCACACAGTGATCTCCAGTTACAAAGCACATTTTTAAATATATATATAACCAAAACCAATAGGCAACCCAAATTTCTTGAATAATGGTTGATATGCTGCTTCACTTTATGCTCTGACATGCAGTGCATTTCTGATAGAAGAACTGGTTAGACATTTATCAGTGAATCATACATAAAAATATCTTTAAGAGATGTGTCAGCCACAGTGACACAGGGGTAACACAACACTCCGCAAAGCTGAAACCATTTGGGAATGTCCCCGCTTCTCATCCTGAGGTCTCTCTGTGTACACCTGTACAGGGGCACATGCCTGTGATCCTGGCTGGTTGGGGCTGGCCTTTGATTGTAGCATGAATACCCTTTAGGAGTGCCATTCTCTCACTCTCGCTCTTTCCTTGTGTGTGTCTCTCTCTCACAGAAGGAAGGAAGGAAGGGAAAAGGAAGGAAGGGATATATATCTATGTCTATATAGATATACCTTCATATCCAGCAGGTGGCGTGGTGGTTAAAGATGCTGGACTCCCATATGGCTGACCATGGTTTGAGGCTCGGATCTAGCAACTTACTTCCTCACTTTCTCTTTCTCGCTCTGTCTTTCTCTAGTCAAATTAAAACAAATAATACAAATAAAGTTAAAAAGAGGGATCTATCCCTAAAAGACACCTGTATAGTATGTAGAACTTGCAGCTCAACTAATATATTACATTCATGAGTTCTAATGCTATACCCTAGAAGTCTTGTCTTTAATGAAATTTATATAATTATTCCTAAGTATTTGCTGCCAAACAATGATTCCTTCAGCCTTAATAAAATTTGAGGAAATTTAGATTCCTACCAATGTTATGGCAAGAGTGCAAATGACAAGCAATGTTTGAGACAAAGAAAACAATTACTGAATATATCGTTTTGTTTCCAGGGTCATTCCCTTGTTTATTTAGACAAGCTGCAGCCATCTGTAAGCAAAAGTAAATATGCTCCTTGAGCATTGGCATTGCATACGTTAGAATTATGCTTGCTAACAGCAGCCACATTCAACTGCCCAGCTGCATACTATTTCCTGCTTCGTCCCTAAATAGAGTAATATATAAAGTACCTACCACAGTGCTAGTTCCACG